TTTATTGACCAAGGACATAACATCTGTCTCGCTCAATCGTTTGCCAAAAATATGGGAATGTACGGTCAGTACCATCTGGCTTGATTTTTTTTGTTTCCATAATACGGAACTTAAAATACTGAAGTAAGTGACGAAAACGGGATGTGGTGCAGTTGAATCGAAATTGTCGCTTTGCGGCAAGAGCGACGTCGCGCACGAAGCAGTGGAGCGGAATGAAGGAACTGGTAAAGAATACGGGGTAAAAGAAGTATCAGTAGAATCATGCGAAAAATATAATCGCATATTGATCGAGACGTCTAAAGAACGCTAGAACTGCGATAACGAGGTAACTCGTCCGCGACTGCCGCGTGCGGCCATTCGTTTACACAAAATCGATTCAAGCGCCTATGCAACGTAACATATGTGAAACTGTAGAGGATATCATGGAAATACAGAAGGGAAAGAGAATCACAAGCGGATTCCGATCGTAAGAATTTTCGTTGCCATCAGAGAAGATTGAAATCTGCCATGAACGAATCTTGGACATTTTAAAATCAGTAGGCTTGAGAGAATCGCATGGGAATTTCTTTTTAGGAGAGCGAATAGGAGCTTTTTCTGTGGTGTGCCAGGATTCCGAAGAGGCAGCCCGTGTTGCTTCACAACTGAAGATTCTCATTCGCCCACTTTATTCGAATCCACCCATTCATGGTGCTCGTATTGTCATGAAAATCCTCAACGATCCAGCTCTCTATAAACAATGGTAGGCCCATTTCCTTCTTATTCCCTATTTTCTAGAGCGGTGGTGATAAATGATCCTTGAGATTTTCAATTCAGGTTGGTAGATGTGAAGGGCATGGCCGATCGTATCATTTCGATGCGAAAGCAGTTGCGAGATCTACTTGCTAAGGAAGGATCTAAGCGTAATTGGCAGCACATAACTGACCAGATTGGAATGTTCTGCTTCACTGGAATAAACCCTCAACAGGTGAAGTTTTCTTTTCAAATCGAAGTAACCTGACAGTATCCTTCCCACTCGCTTCATGCGTTATGGAACATTCGGTAA